TTTTTTTTCAAGCAGAAGACGGCATACGAGATATTTGAATGACACTGCTACTGCAAGTCTCGCTAAATCACTGTTTCCGGATTCGCCCACGAGGGAGAGGGCGCTCTACCGTATAGGCACAAATGCGACTGGAGCCAAAACGCACGGTCACAGAGCCAGACCAGGGACAAGTCGATAATAAGAGCTGGAAGTCTGAATTATTGATAACAACTCCATAAACCAGCAAACGAATCTGCCTCCTATCTTTCAGGCGTTGGCAAAGAAAGACAGATTTCAGCCAAAGACCTGGCACACTACACAGCCATTCATTAGCTATTCCTTCCCAAAAACGGATAGTAGACAGACTGCCTGTAACAGCATCAGGCCAGAAAGCATGAACATTTAAAATCACGTGAGCCCTTTCTAGGCTACTGGAGATGATAGTAACTGTAGATTAACACCGATAAGCCCAAAAGCAACTGTTGTGCAACGCAATCCAGCAACGTTATCTGATATTCTAGATATTATTTTTTTTTAAACTGGGTAATTTGTTCAGAAAATATTGGCTAAACAAGGCCTCCGGTCTGTCAAATGACACCTGGTGAAATGTGACCAAACGAGGTGCGAAAGGACACGATGACAACAACCACCGGGGTAGACCGGAGTGACCTGGCTGTGATTCAGGTTGTGCTGAAGGAGATTTGTCCCCACTTGCTTATCTTAAATCTACCACGGTTCGGCAAGGACACACAGTTAAGACACGAGGTGTTATTAGTTGGAGAGTGATGGCTGAGGACCTGGCAATAAGCATCGCCTCTGTGTGTACCACAACACGCATGTGGGATTCCTTTCCGTTGACCAAACCAATACAGGTACACAGTGTCAACGAGGCGAGAAACGCTCCGGTTACGAATACAGTCAGTGAAATTTTAACAAAAACTCTGAAAGGCGTTTTCGATTGGCAAAAAACTACTCACGTGGGGCTGTAAAGTTAATTGCCTTACAGTATAAACCCAAGATATGTAATGAATGTAGACATGAGGGGCATTGATAGACGCACAGATAGGATGCCATCTGAATGGACAAATCTCGAAATTTGAAACTTTTTGGTACAGAAATACATCCCTTCTTCCAGCAGACACTTTGAAGAACACGCTTGTCTACTTTTCTTCCGCAAAATGTACTTGATTTTGTTAAGGCATCAAAAATCAACAAGAAAATGCATACTACTTAAGTAGCTATCTTTACCGGGCGCAGTTTGTGTGGAAGGTCGAAAGGACATGCATTTTGGGATTATGGAGTAAGGCAATGAAAATTTAAACCGCCGCCTAAGTCGAGGAACGACAAGCAAGGGTCTGGATACTGTAGTGTCTAATCAGTGGTTATACTCGGAACGGTAAAATCATCAGATCGAACCCCATGTAGTAGGTAAAAAGCTGAAGTCACCTGTGAGAGAGACGAACTGCGCACAGGATCCTGAGTTGCTCTCTCAGATGGCAGTGGCCACTGGCGAAGTCAGGGCTAGTGCTGACTGCGTCAAGTCAGGTCTGAGAGAGCACGAGACAGTGGTGGCAGCTGCTTAAGTAGGATTGCTGGGCAGGTTCAAGTGTTCTCCAATTGGTGTTTGCGACGTTACCCGAGGGGTATCGTGTCTGGTAGCGTAGGCTGTATCGACAGAGGGTGGGGGAAAGAGCGTGTCCAAGTGGTACCTACG